AGTATAGAAAAAGGATATAATAAAATTATAAATGAAATAGAAGATGAGGTATTACAAGAATCTGGATGGTCATTCGTCCAAGCAGAAGAGGTATTTCTTGAAATAAGCGCATTCAGACCATTGCAAGATAGTAGTTATCTACCTTTACCAGAAGCTTTAGATAAGCCACAACTAGGAATAATTAATTCACAAAATAGGGATGATAATGAGTGTTTTAAATGGTATATAAGTGCCTATCATACAAGAGAGGAAACAATAAAAGCTAATAGAAAGCCACCACATCTTAATGAAATCCAGAGACTTAGACGAAATGCAAATATAGCAAATTTTGAAGATATAAAATTTCCGGCAACACTCCATGATATAGATAAATTCGAAGAAAGCAATTTTAATTATGCTATCAATATATTTAAACCATTTTATAGCAAGCTTTCGGAAAAATAAAAGTAAATATAGATCTATTATATATTTCAGAACGTAATTATCAAGTAGAGCATATGATAGATTTATTATATTTAACAGAAGGTGAAGAGAGTTTAAATGATTGAAAAAATCAAAATGATATACCAGAAGGCTTAAAAACATATTATGTGTATATAACAGATTTCAAGCGATTAATGCATAAGTGAAATAACCATCATGATAAAAAATACTTTTGCCGAAAATGCTTGCGATTTCTATATAGTCGATTAGATTTATTACAGAAATATATTCTTACATGTCTAGGTCTAAATAAGGCTTCACAATGTTTAATTCTCCCAGAAGAAGGTAAGAATTATATAAAACCCAAGTATATCAAAAACATGTTAATGAAACCTTATTTAATAACTATGGATTTAGAAGCCAAAGAAATTGAAGCAGATAAAAAAGATAAAGAAGAAAATACTATAAAAGAAGCAGAGCAGATAGCAGTTTCATATGGATATACTATTTATTGTTCAGATAGAACAATGCAAAAACTAGTGATTAATCGAGAATCAGAAAATATAATAAAAGACTTAATGGAAAACCTTCAAGAAGATCTAGAAGTTATTTTAG